ACACGATATATCAACTGAAGCTTCATAAATTTGCCGCCACCCTACCACTTGAGACAAATTTCAACGGAGACAAAATAACTCCAACCTATCCGTTGAAATTATTAGAATTTACTGTGAATATAATGTGACTGAATTCATAGAAGTTATTGTGTTGTCTTATTTTCCCCCTGAAAACAGGCTCTCCATACAAAGAATGTTTTGATGAAAAATCCATTTATTACAATACATTTGTTTGATTTGCAAACCACCCAAGTTTTTTTTGTCAAAAGCGTTCTCAAACATCAACTATTACAATAACCACTCTAACAATCGACAAAGCCCAATAACTGTTATTAAATTTTTAGCATGAGCACTCGAATAGTCCTGATACTTTCCTTGATGGCGATAAACCTTTGATTTGCATATTTCACAATTACATTGAAAGTTGAGAGTTGTATTTCCACCAGTCACCAATGGCAGTACTCTACCTTTAATGCATTTGTCGAGAGTGGTGACTAACAATGAGTTGGGGTCAAGTGATTTTCATAAACAAGCATTATTCGAAAACATACAATTAGTAAGAAAATTCCTTGAAAAAAAAAAACATGATATATCAACTGAAGCTTCATAACTTTGCCGCCCTACAACTTGAGGACAAAATCAACATAAGAAAAAATTACTCCAACCTTTCAGCTTGAAATTATTAGAATTTAATGTGAATATAATGTGACTGAAAGTGAATGTTTGTCTTTTTTATGAAAATAGGCTCTCCCTTGATAGAATGTTTTGGTTAAAAATCCATTAATTACAATACATTGGTTTGATTTGCAAATCCCCCAAGTTTTTCATCAAAAACATTCTCAAACATCAACTTTAACATTAATTACTTTCAACTCCAACAATCGATTATTACTTTCAACTCCAACGATCGATAATACCCAATCACTGTTGTTTAATTGAAACACAAATACTTTAAAGATTATGCAGGAAAATGTGGTGCATGTACATGTATTTCATGGGTTATTAAGAAGAGGCTCTCAGGTCAAATTCAATATTTTTTTCCTACACACACTTTCTAATAGCCAGAGTCCTTATGAAAGTTGAAAACAGATCACAAGTCTCTTGCCTAATATTTAAATGGTAAAAAATATCATTTTATTTTGATACCCTTCCATTAAAAATTGAAAAAAAAATTTGTCATATTAACAACTATATATACGGTAGGTCTGTACATTTTTGAAAGGGAATTCTCAGTTCATGTCTGCGTGTGCATGACTATCAATCAAAGTGAGGTAGATTTAAGATTCTTTAATAAAATCTTGACTTAAATAGTCCGTGAAATCTGTTGATTTTTTTTTCCACATGCCTTTACATTTTGAACACAACTTATTTGAAAACTATTTTAAACATCAAGGCAATACTCAGCGGCGATAAAGTTCAGGTTCCAAGCCTTAAAATGGTATAAAAATAATAGTGGTACTTTTTCCGCACCGATGCTAGAGCCTCGTCAAAAAAGCTGCAGGCTTTCTGGGACACACGCTGTATTAAATATACAGGCCTACTTTTTGTTTGTACAAGTGTCGTCACGCTCAGGTTCATACAAAAGGAGCATCAACTAAAAAGACTTTTGACAACATTTTAATGGAGGTTTTCCCACTGCCATGATTACTCCCTTGAGGATTCTTTGACTATTGAAAAAAAAGTGCAGAGAAAAAAAATAAAAAGACTTTAGAGCCCCTCTTCAAGCTACATGTACGTTACTGTTTCGTGTGGTACTTAACACACAGTACCAATACAAAGCACTGTAGTACTTTGTACTGCAGTAGCCTTTATCTTGTGCTTTTTCTCCTGACCGCGTTTATTATATTATAGACCTTATACTTACGCACTGCCAGGTTCTTTTGTCCAATATGGGAACTGAAGCTGTGATACAAGCTTGACATTCCTTCTTCCCTGGTACCTTTTCTTTCAAGATGAGTTCTGTCTGCATCTTGTTTGGACCAAGGAAATTTGTCTCCTAAATAGAAAAATTTGTAAATAAACATAAATATTTTTATAAACAAATTATTCCACATGATAAATGTACAATGTACATGTACGCAGTCAATTTAGCAACCATCCTATATTACAAATGTAGAAGTCTTTTTCAAATGCAATCATGATAATAAAAAGAAAGATGTTATAAATTACACCATCAGTGCATAAATTAAATATTTACATTACACGTATTGCCCATGGCAACACTATTGTCTGGGCTAAATTATATAATGTCACCTTTTTAGAAAGGTGGGAGAAAGGCTCAGTTTCAGACGTGGAAATGGTGCATTTCCCATAATAAATCCTATTTAAATAAAAACTACAATCACTACAGTTATATGTAAATACAACTTCTCAAATCAAACTCAACTCTTACAGAGTTATGTCAATGACAGCACTTTATAATCACTCAGAAGTGTTAAATCAAAATTGATTGGGTTAAATTCAACATGTTAACATGATTAATTAAAACATATACGGGGTGTGTATAAAAATAGGAAACCCAAAGTAAATGAATATGTACAAAATCAAATAACTTTTTCCTCATAAATTATAGACAAGTGTCTGTGACCATGGATGACTGGCTGGTTTGTTATGCAACGGCTGAAATGGCAGTGGGCGAAATGGGACAACATTCAAAGCTTTGTGTGGAAAGTAGAGGTGGAAGTGACATTAAAGACATTGGTTCAAAAGGAGTTAACTTCAACAATGAGAGTGGTTTAATCACAGTGTCAACATTGAATAATTTGTTGTCAAGAAAATGTTGTCTTCTTTCGTTAAAAAAAGCCGGTTCACATGCCCTGAATACCAATTGCCAGTTTGCAACAACTTGGCCCAGTGCAGGTTTTGACCCTTGACAGAATAACAGTGACTGCTCAGTCATCCATGGTCACAGACACACAATCAGGGTATCACTGGAAAGAGGAGACATGGATCTTTCATTTGGTCTATAATTTATTTGGAAATGTTCATTAGATATTATATAAATTACAATTGGGTTTCCTTTTTTTGTGGAACCGCCCTGTATGCAGGTCGTTTTAAATTTTTAAAGAGTTTTCACAGATCAATCTTTTTTTATCAGAAACATGTGTTTTGCAAACAATATCATGGAACCCACCCTTTCCTGATACACGAAGAGGTCTTGATCCTTCAGCTAACTCGGATGGCATCTCACGTGAGCTGGATCTGGTTTCAGTTTCGACTAAAGAATACACAAAAAAAATATGTTTCTAAACAAATGTTAAGGATGCAGGCCCTGTTCCTTGCCTGTGTGTTACACATTATATTGTTTAATGTAATACAGCTACATCTTGCAGTGGTTGGGATGTAGACAGACTGACCATTCAACCCAAGACCACAAGAATGCAGGACTGAGTTTCCCCAGCTAAGGTGGATCACACATTCTGGATGCATGGTTCCTCTTCTTGAAATTTTTTTGGGATAGCCAATCACAAGGCCCAAGACGGGCCACTCAAGGTGACGACTAAAAAGGAAGAATGGGAATAATCAAAGAGGAAATGAAAAAAGTAGAAAGACGACTATTGATGTTGCATTTAATTGAGACAGATCGTAAGTGGATTGAAAGCAGGATGCAAGAAGTGAGGGGAAAAACTGGATGAGTATCTCCTAGTATTCGCTTTGGGGAAAACAGTGTAAGGATGAGAATGGGCAGATAAACATGTGGAGCAGCAAAATGTATGTTTAGGTGGAACAACCAGTGGAAGTCCACTGGAGCACCTGCCAAATTAACATATGTAAAAGAGGCTCAAAGAAGCTACAGAACGACTGAGAGGTTCCAGGGAAGAAGCTAGGTCACGTCCTACTAGATTTGCAATACGTCTTTAAATTTTTTTCAAGCAGGGACAAATGACAAGCTGGAGCACCAGCCCAAATATGACAACAGTATTCCATGACAGCACACATTGTGGACTTATACAAGTAGAGCATAACTGCTGGAGGAAGATATTGCCGGGCACGACATAAGCAGCCTACTATCAATGGGCCTGATATCATGTACATGTATCAAGAAAGTAGTAAGTTAAACTGAAATGTTATAGTTGCTTTAGTAACAATTCAATTTAATTTCACTTAGGCATGGGCGTTGCACAGGGGGGCAAGGAGGGGGGGCGCTTGCCCCCCCCCCCCTGGAAAAGCAACCAAAAAAAAAATAGGAAGGAAGAAAAAAAAAGAAGAAAAAAAGAAAAGAAAAGAGGCGCGAAGTCATAGTGGTGTAAATTTATGATGGAGTTGGGGGGGGGGCAAATATCAACCTACCTCTTCTTGGAGTACACCTAGGTGCACATGAAGGGCTTGGTTCTCTGGCTGATGATGACTTGTTGAAACAGGTTTGAAGTGAGACTAGAAAAAAAAGAAGAAGACTTTTATTGAAAATTAAATTTCAACAAAATGATTTTGCATGGAATTTATAAACATTCATTGAACAGTTATCCGTAGAATTTTCCACAAAGAAAACAGGAAGGTAACAGGTAATTTTTATGTCATCTTTCAAAGCTCCAGTCAGTAGCCGTGTCACTCGTAGCTGCTCTATTTTCTTGTCTACACAATTGATAGCAACGCGAGGCCAGCGAATGATGGCCGTAAAAAGGGCTTCAGAAAATTCGCAATTTTCTTGGCAAACCACAACCGATCCAAACAAACAAAGTTGTTTTGGGTAGTTAAAGACCTACTACATACATTCATCAAGGTATTTTTTTCTATAAAGAAAGATTTCCATGCATTTTGACGATATTATTTCACGGACAAATCGACTAAAAATTAGGTCATGCAATTTCGGTGTTTTTTTTTAGAACGACGAAAGTCTCCCAAAGTAATCAAAGGAAAGAGTGAACCTTCATCTACAAGTAATCTCGTGAACGTGATGTCGTTAGTATTTAAAGAATTCTATGTACACCTAATGTTTCCAACAACTTTCATTTTTCACAACGCGAAAAGATCGTCACCATTGTAAAGCATAGAGTGAGGAACCCAAACACGGTGTGACCTTGTGACCCCATACGCATCGCCTGCACACTGATTAGTCGAGCTTGAGATGGCCTGCTTAATATTCATAAGTCATTCATTGCACGTTCGCACGTGCTGTTCAGGCTGTTGGCCTACTTACGTTCATTTACATGCGTACATGTGATTGTGAATCATGAAATCTCGCAAAAGTCTTCATTTTTTAACAGGCAATTTGGACCAAACATTAGAAGACTTCTGCACGTGTTTCACATGAAAATGAAGCGTATACTTGCCTTTATGTACTAAGCCTTGACATTTGTTTTGGCCTTTTTTAAGAATCGAATGTACACCTAAAAATTAACGGCCCTCGATTTTGTTGATAAAAAATATGATTTTGTTTGACAGGCCATAACAACACTTTATATTTGTCAAAAGCAGTTATTTTTGTTATCAAAATAAAACACACGATTTCCACTTTTTGACTTATTTAGCCATCTTGGCCAAACAGTGCATGTATTGAGGCACTTTTTGTGTTTTTCTGTAATCTCGAATACATCTCGTAAAATCTTGCGTACGCTTTTGGGCCATGCGTGCTTGACCTCGGGACGAGAAACTGACGTCAAACAGGGCTGTGTGCGTGACACGGCTACTGACTGGCTCTCTCAATTCATTATGTAATTTCAATTCCAATTATAATGGTAATGAATCAAGGCAGGCAATGCACCCTTGTTTCAATTTATTTGATGTCTTTAGCCAACATGAGTTAGTTATATCCCATAATGTAGCTGCATGAGCTGCACAGGAATAGTAAAGTTAATGTTTGTAAAAAATTTGTTAAATCTACCCTGGTTCATTTCCTGTTCATCTTCATCTCCATCGTCATCAATTTCATCAGTTGCTTCCATCTCAATATCTGCATATAATTTACAAAAACAATATCCAATGAAGAAGTGGGTAGCCAGTAAGAAAAACTAGAAGCCCAATATAACAACAAATACCCCACACACAACAAATACCCCAAACACACCAAAGAAAGGACAGACAAACAAACAACCAAACAGACAGACAGACAGACAATATAGACGATTATGACAATTTTGAAAATTTTGATGAGAAAACTTGTTTTTCTGGTAGTGCTACACATCTATTGTGCCAATATTCTCATTATTAAGTAAATGTAAACAGACCAAATGTGAAAAGGCTTAGTCTTGCTGCAGAATAAAGACCTCTAGGTTGTGATCATATTGGCAAGAAAAGTGTGCCTTCTGCTCTGTACTCTACTGTCATGGCATGCAACACCCCATCTGTCTGAATCTTGCAACTATGACCACAACCTAACTTTTAATCCTATATTGAATTAATTGTTCTTTCTTATAACCACAAATGCCGTTTAATAAGGAGACACTTAATGGTCATAACTAGCACCTTAGGGAGACAAAATGGAATATGCTGACATTTCAATGTCACCCTTATGTCTCAGCTCCTATTTAGAGGCAGATTTTTAATGCCGTAAATAGGCTACATTGATTTCAGATTTGTATTCAAGGCACTGCAAGTGGATCACAAGTCCCTACAAGTCCATCACAAGTCTTTTAGTCTTATCACTAGCTTTTCAAATGAACCGCTTCAAAAGCATTCATTTGTCATTGTTCATCAATAGTTTCTTGTGAATGGCATTTATGGAAAGACTTGTGAGTGGATTTGTGAAACGTCTTGCAGGGAACTTGAATACAACTCTGACTCCTGGTCCCAAAAATAATACCATAAACATATTGGGGTTGGATGGTGTAAAATTGGGGTTAAGGGTCAGAAAAGGTGGAATCTGATGTAAAGGTCCATAGGAAAGTCTCCCTTAAGTAAGGTACCACTACAGTATTGGTAAGTATGTGTATTTATTTACCTTCAACTTGTATGTCATCCAGAGACTTGCCTGCCCATTGGCCCACATCACCAGCATCAATGGCCATCAATAACTTGGAGACCTTGCACAGTTCAATTGTTGAGTCCTGCACCCTGTAGAAGTCTTTATGTATGTTGACGCTATGGCCAAGATGGCTAGCAACCCATTCTAATTGGTGTGGCTGTAGGCTTAGAATCTGTGCAACTGTTGCAGTGTATTTCTGCATTTTAGTTGTGCGGATGTCTTGTGGTGAGTCAAGAGACACTTCTGAGATAATTTCTTTGAGAACATGACCAGCCTGCATGTGTGTGGATGGTGTGTTTCTCGCAAACATATACTGGTTGGATGGAGGAATGAAAAGATGCCTCAACTTGGAAATTGCATTTAGTGATTTACTGCAGTCTGGAGGAACAATAACAGGGACTGTTCGCCCCCGTTTTCCAATCATCTTCAAGAGGTCGTGACTCTCAAGCAGCTTCTTTTCAAGAGATGTCATCTGGCATAACAGCTCTTCTACCCTTGAGTTGTTCCATCCTGGTCGATTAATGTATGTGTCAGTGGTGATCTGTGAGAGCTCCAATGGCCGTCGTTTGTTGAACAACAAGAGACGTACAAGTGTGACTTTCTGCATCCGCTTTAAAAAGCTGTAGTTGGCAGTAGAAGAAGTTGTGAACATTTCATTGCATTTCTTAACCTCACTGGTAACATACTTGGACAGTTTCTGAAGGTCACTGGTTTTAGGTAAACTCACAGGTTTCTTGCTTTTGCGAGTGTTAAGGGTATTGCAAGCTGAGGCAGAAACTTTAAGACCCCATTCTGATCTATGTAGCTGCAGAAACTTATTAGCTTCCTCTTCAGATGTGATGTCATGGGATCGTATGGCCCTTCCTCTTTTAATCCGAGCAAGCCAGGCCAAATCATATCCTGCTTTGAGGGCAAACGATGGACGCTGTAGCTCATGATCACCACCTTCCCCCTCATCCTGTCCTGCCAAATCCTCAACAGCTTGAATTACAGCATCAAACTTAGATGGCTTTAAGAAGTCACCCATAGTTACTCCGCCATCATTTACAAGTTTTTCACAAAACAAACACGCATTGAATTTGTTGTAAGCTCGGATCAAACCACCCTCTACCTCCTTCTGTTTGTAATACTCGATGTGGATTTCATCAAATGAGGAGTCACTTCCATCAGAAGATGAATCAGAAGACGGTTGCACTTTGCCATTAGCTTCTAGCTCTGCTTTACCTCTGCAAGGCCGTGGTTGGAATTGTGAGCTATTATCTGTTAGCTGGTCAAATACAATTGATTCCTCATCAGATTCAGATTCATCTGACTCCGAACCATGATAGTCTGAACTATTCTCTGAAGTGTCTGATGAGTCCTCTTCAGTTGCACTTTCTGAATTGTCAGTCGTCATCTGCACAGTTTTGCCATGAGCTTGTATGACTTTATTTTGGAAGGGCAGTTTTACAGGCTCCTGCAACAAATGACGATCATCAATGATAGAATGAAAACTTTCCATATCTATGTGACATTCGGTTTTCTGATTGCCATACACATATCCTCCACAAATATCTTCCAGGATATCAAAAGCTGAAGGATCAGGACGACATGGCACGTCTGTTGACAACATGTGAATAGGAATGCTTGCTATATTTGGTTACATCAGTGGCACAAGACACCTCAGACAGACTGCTTGGACGAGTGCTTAAGAGCATTGTGCTATTGGTGGCATCATCAGTAGACCCGGAGTCGACAGTAGGAAGCACCTCAGACAGACTGCTTGGACGAATGCTTGTGAGCATTGTGCTATTGGTGACATTATCAGTGGACCTAGAGTCGACAGTAGGAAGCACCTCAGACAGACTGCTTGGACGAATGCTTGCCAGCATTGTGCTATTGGTGACATCATCAGTAGACCCAGAGTCGACAGTAGGAAGCACCTCAGACAGACTGCTTGGACAAATGCTTGCAAGCATTGTGTTATTGGTGACATTATCAGTGGACCTAGAGTCGACAGTAGGAAGCACCTCAGACAGACTTCTTGGACGAATGCTTGCCAGCATTGTGCTATTGGTGACAGTAGGAAGCACCTCAGACAGACTGCTTGGACGAGTGCTTGCTAGCATTGCGCTATTGGTGGCATCATCAGTTGACTCAGAGTCCACAGTAGGAAGCACTTCAGACAGACTGCTTGGACGAATACTTAAGAGCATTGTGCTATCGGTGACATCATCAGTAGACCCAGAGTCGACAGTAGGAAGCACCGCAGACAGACTGCTTGGACGAGTGCTCGTGAGCATTGTGCTATCGGTGGCATCATTAGTGGACCCAGAGTCGACAGTAGGAAGCACCTCAGACAGACTGCTTGGACAAATGCTTGAGACCATTGTGCTATTGTTGACATCATCAGTAGACCCAGAGTTGACAGTAGGAAGCACCTCAGACAGACTGCTTGGACGAGTGCTTGTGAGCATTGTGCTATCGGTGGCATCATTAGTGGACCCAGAGTCGACGGTAGGAAGCACCTCAGACAGACTGCTTGGACAAATGCTTGAGAGCATTGTGCTATTGGTGACATCACCAGTAGACCCAGAGTCGACAGTAGAAAGCACCTCAGACAGACTGCTTGGACGAATGCTTGTAAGCATTGTCCTATTGGTGGCAATATCAGTGGACCCAGAGTCGACAGTAGGACGCACCTCAGACAGACTGCTTGGACTAAGGCTTGTGAGCATTGTGCTATTGGTGACATCACCAGTAGACCCAGAGTCGACAGTAGGAAGCACCTCAGACAGACTGCTTGGACGAATGCTTGAGAGCATTGTGCTATTGGTGACATCACCAGTAGACCAAGAGTCGACAGTAGAAAGCACCAAAGACAGACTGCTTGGAAGAATGCATGTGAGCATTGTGTTATTGGTGACATCATCGGTAGACCCAGAGTCGACAGTAGGAAGCACCTCAGACAGACTGCTTGGACAAATGCTTGCGAGCATTGTGCTATTGGTGACATTATCAGTGAACCCAGAGTTGACAGTAGGAAGCACCTCAGACAGACTGCTTGGACAATTGCTTGCGAGCATTGTGCTATTGGTGACATTATCAGTGGACCCAGAGTTGACAGAAGGAAGCACCTCAGACAGACTGCTTGGACTAAGGCTAGCGAGCATTGTGCTATTGGTGACATCATCAGTGGACCCAGAGTCGACAGAAGGAAGCACCTCAGACAGACTGCTTGGACTAATGCTTGCAAGCATTGTGCTATTGGTGGCATCATTAGTTGAATCAGGTTTGACAGTAGGAAGCACCTCAGACGGACTGCTTGGACGAGTGCTTGCCAGCATTGTGCTAGTGGTGACATTATCAGTGGACCCAGAGTCGACAGTAGGAAGCACCTCAGACAGACTGCTTGGACGAATGCTTAAGAGCATTGTGCTATTGGTGACATTATCAGTAGACCCAGAGTTGACAGTAGGAAGCACCTCAGACAGACTGCTTGGACGAATACTTAAGAGCATTGTGCTATCGGTGACATCATCAGTAGACCCAGAGTCGACAGTAGGAAGCACCTGAGACAGACTGCTTGGACGAGTGCTTGTGAGCATTGTGCTATTGGTGACATCATTAGTGGACCTGGAGTTGACAGTAGGAAGCACCTCAGACAGACTGCTTGGACAAATGCTTGAGAGCATTGTGCTATTGGTGACATCACCAGTAGACCCAGAGTCGACAGTAGGAAGCACCTCAGACAGACTGCTTCGATGAGTGATTGAGAGCATTGTGCTATTGGTGACCTTATCAGTGGACCCAGAGTCGACAGTAGGAAGCACCTCAGACAGACTGCTTGGACGAGTGCTTGTGAGCATTGTGCTATCGGTGGCATCATTAGTGGACCCAGAGTCGACAGTAGGAAGCACCTCAGACAGACTGCTTGGACAAATGCTTGCGAGCATTGTGCTATTGGTGACCTTACCAGTGGACCCAGAGTCGACAGTAGGAAGCACCTCAGACAGACTGCTTGGACTAAGACTGGTGAGCATTGTGCTATTGGTGACAGTAGGAAGCACCTCAGACAGACTGCTTGGACTAAGGCTTGTGAGCATTGTGCTATTGGTGACAAGACTGCTTGGAATGCTTGACACAGGACAATTATCTTCAGGATTGCAGTGAATATCTGGGTGTGTAGTTTGTGAAATGCATCTATTACTCTTCCTCCATGGCAAACAGATGTCACCATAGTCATAGGTAAGTTCTTGCCCAACGGAAATGTCCCTTAATGCAAAAAGAAACAAGTAAGGGATGCCACTGAAGACTCTTTTTTTCATGACACACAAGGGAATGACATGGTCATCATTCACTAGTCCTCCAAGCCTGGAATCATCATGGGTGGCATCAATACTGCAGGTCAACAAGACAAAAAAAAACAGTGCATAAGTTTGACTGCTCAATAAAAATACATCAGGCACATTTTCCGAATTAGAGCATGATAAGGGCATTCATCACAAATCATGGGTTACACATTTTCTGAATTTGATTATTTTCCAAACATGCATGGACTTACTCCATAGAGCATTCATCACCAATCATGGGTCACACAATTTTCTGAATTTGATTATTTACACATTTTCTGAATTTGATTATTTTCCAAACATGCATGGACTTACTCCATAGGGCATTCATCACCAATCATGGGTTACACATTTTCTGAATTTGATTATTTTCCAAACATGCATGGACTGACTCCATAGGGCATTCATCACCAATCATGGGTTACACATTTTCTGAATTTGATTATTTACACACTTTCTGAATTGGATTATTTTCCAAACATGCATGGACTTACTCCATAGGGCATTCATCACCAATCATGGGTTACACATTTTCTGAATTTGATTATTTTCCAAACATGCATGGACTGACTCCATAGGGCATTCATCACCAATCATGGGTTACACATTTTCTGAATTTGATTATTTACACACTTTCTGAATTGGATTATTTTCCAAACATGCATGGACTTACTCCATAGGGCATTCATCACCAATCATGGGTTACACATTTTCTGAATTTGATTATTTCCCAAACATGCATAAACTGACTCCATAGGGCATTCATCACCAATCATGGGTTACACATTTTCTGAATTTGATTATTTTTCAAACATGCATGGACTGATTCCATAGGGCATTCATCACTAATCATGGGTGACACATTTTCTGAATTTGATTATTTCCTAAACATGCATGGACTGATTCCATAGGGCATTCATCACCAATCATGGGCTACACATTTTCTGAATTTGATTATTTTCCAAACATGCATGGACTGACTCCATAGGGCATTCATCACCAATTTTTTTTTTAAACAGTTTTCTGAATTTGATTATTTTCCAAACATGCATGGACCTACTCCATAGGGCATTCATCACCAATCATGGGTTACACATTTTCTGAATTTGATTATTTACACATTTTCTGAATTTTATTATTTCTCAAACAAGAATGGACTGACTGTGATATGATATGATAGAATAATGACAAGACTAACGATGTATTAAGTGAAGTTCTGTAGCTCATGTTCCACGCTCCATGTACAGTAATCAAGTTACCCTGGGAGGTATAGATCAAAGGTTATATGAATATGCATGGTCCCATTACATCCCCCCTTTTGAGAACAAAATCTATGAATGAAAGTGAGGGTTAAATGAACTAGATTTTGTAGCAAATTTGGAAATACATATACAATGCATTGTCCTGTGTGTCGAAGGAATGAACTAATCGCCAAATTATCATCTAATTTGCTGAACCAAGTAGGAAACTTTTCTACTTGGTGTTGTAACACATCCTTTTCGCACAATTTTCTCTTATTTTCTAAATGACAAAAACAAAACTTAAAATTTGTCTGCATAAAAAATTGTTTCTTTGTTGAACAAAGTGAACTAAAATTGTCTTTACTTAGTTACTTTTTTCTTTTACGCTAGTACTTCTTTCTGTGCCTTGTAACGACAAAAAAAAATACATTAAAAGAATAAAACTTAAAAAAAAAATGAATTTGTTGTCTCTAAGCGTTACTTGAAACAGGCTTATGTTTCAATCAGTCTTTGTGGTTTCTTCACTACGCGGCCACTGCGTGTACGGTATGGTTCAGTAGGCACAGCAGGTAAGTTAGTGATAGAGTTGTTGTTGTCACTGTGTTGTTTCTGATCAGTAGACTTGCTCCCAGTCTTCCTCAGTATAGACTTGGGGGCATGTGGGTTGAGTGACGGGGTATGTACGCTAGCAACTGGTGGGTCTGCAAAGCGGAGTGTCTTTCTCATTGGTTCAGTATTGCGAATGTGCACTCTGTTACGGCGTAAGCTTTGTCCAGTTGGTGTCTGAACAATGAATGATCTGGGTTCTGGACAAGCATCTTTGACAACTGCGGGTGTCCATTTCCCAGTGTGATGATCTTGAACCGTCACGTGTTGTCCCGGTACCAGTGATGATAGTTTGCGCATACCATCACGGTCATGGTACTCCTTCTGTTTGTCTTGGCGCTGGGCCAACCTGGCATACACGTCATCTTTGTCGTGCCGGTTGTGTCGAATCTTCGACGGAAGATTGTCCTTGAGTTTGCGACCATTGAGTAGCTCTGCAGGTGAGGGAAGAGCACTGTCTATCGGAGTTGTGCGGAGGCATAGGAGTGCAAGGTAGGGGTCCATGTTGGACTGCTTTGCCTTTGTCAAGGTCAATTTCACAGTCTGTATCATCCGCTCGATGAAACCGTTACTCCTTGGATACCTTGGGCTTGATGTTACGTGATCAAATTCCCAGTCTTGG